CCAGTCCTCCTAGTTCCAGTCTCACCTACCCCTATACTTGGAAAGTGCGACTTGAATACTGACGCACCATGGGCCTGGGACGAGCAGGCGCACCAAGAGGGCAGCCTTGTCCCGTCGCCCGTATCTACATCAGGTCGTGGGAAATGATTGCAAACGTAAGACAGATGTGGTACCGCAGCGCGCCATCAAAGGTCGCTACCGCGTCGTATCGGAAGCTCACTTGCGGCTCTTCCCACGGCGTTGGTGCAAAGTCGGGCGTCAATACAATGTCGTTCTCGGCGCGAAGCCGGTCCATCCACGTCACGACATACTTGTGGTCTACAACACACTCGCTTCAAGACAACGTGGCGTGACATACCTGTCGACGCATAGTGCGTCAGATCGTCGCGCAGCTGGCGCCACCCGTCGTTCGTCAAAAAGCAATTCTGATCCCACGGCAGAATCCACGTCGCCCCTGCGTGCTGTCTACGTACATGTGTTGAACAGAGTGCTCACGTCTAGTTTACGGCGCACCCGAGGGCCAAGACGTGGTTGCGCGCGTCGTTGATACCCATCACATAGAGGTTCTTGGCGTCGTACACGTCCGCCTCGATCTGCGCGCGTTGCCACATATTGTCCACGGCAGCATGCACCATGTCCTTGCCGTGGTCCGACGCGACGCGGAAGGGCGCGTCGGCGTAGGCTGGCAGCTCAAACGGAAGCTCCGAGTACCTAATTGTATCTCGTTTTTTGGAGAATATTGTCTTTTGTCTTGTAGACATACGTGGCGTTGAACGAGGCGAGCAGCTGCCGCAGCGCCTGCGCCACAGTGGCGTCGACAATGCGATTGAGGACCCAGTGCTTTTGCAGCGTCGGATCCGACACTTCGTGGCGCAAAATGAACTCGATATTTTGCAGAGTCCGGCGCGGATCATGTCTATAGTCGCGTCGTCATTAATATACCACGGCTACCGGTAGCATATATGTAGAAAGAAAGGCATGGACTCGTACCGAGGGGGCAGCGCATTCCCAATGACGCGCCCGAGGTAAAACGTCGGCATGTCCTGGTAGAACGACATGTACATTTCGAGATGGAAGAGACGGGACGTGTACCATGGCCAGCACGCTGCTCGCGAGTAGTGCGACGCAGCGTCGTTGCATGATGATCGAAGAAATGTCGACGGAATGAAAATCGGGTTGGCGCGGGAGTTGAACCGTCGAAGCTCTCGCGGGTTCGAAATCACACTATTTCCGTGTATTCCGATTCGGACTCGGATGCAGAGAGGACTACCGCTGTGTGTTAAGACGAAAAATGCTAGCCCTTGGCAATGCCCAAACCGTGTTGTCGATGCATGGTGGGAAGAAGAGGGCGAGGTCCTTCATGACGGCGCTCCACAGTGTGCGGGGACCCCTCTGTGTAACAGTATTACGGTATTTCAATATAACACTATTGAATAACGACGGTGGAGTTTTGCCGAAGACGCGCCGATGAACCTTCTCGCCGACGAGTTCGAGGTCATTGGTACGTCGCTCTGCGCTGGAGCGCTCTTACACGCCGACTCTAGATCCGAATCCAGATATCTGGGCGCTCTTTCTGGTACGGTTACCAGATCGTCGTATCCTGTCTGCGTGCGAGCGAAATGGTAATCTGTAGGAGTACAATGCGCTCTTCTTTGACGACCTTCTGAACGGCTGCGAGATCAAGTGGAGCAAGCGCATGACGTTGTGGTATGCATCTCGTCGTCGTCGTGCAATCTGGTGCGATCCAGATACATCTAGCGCGGGGCTCTGCAGCTTTCAGCCCATGTCTGGGTTTTGCTCGATTCGCCTCAGGTCGGGTCCTTAGCTTGATGCTCACTAACTGCTATTAACTGCAGTGAGCCGCTGCTGAAACTTCGGCCCCGAAGCGATCTTGTCAACACGCTGCTGGTAGTTCGAGCTCGAGGCTGCTCTGTCGTTCCAATGGTCGTTTTAGCACGAGATGATCCACGCGTTCATTTTCCTCAACAGCCCCGTGCGCGACCACGAAGGTAGACATGCTCCTACGTCGTCAAGACACATCCTTCTGAGCTAGACCACGGCCCGCAGTTCCAGTTTCACATGCACCGCATCAACGCGCTCGGTACAAAAGTGCCTATGCAATGAGGATCTAGTACCGTGGTGCGGTAGCCCAGACCAAGATCACAGTCTACCACACGTTCAACGACGAAGTCGACTCGTACCGCGTCCATTGGTGGAAATGCAATGTATGACACTAAATCGTGCTATATCCAACCTTCTACGGCGGTTAGGGTCCGTGCCAACATTCGCCGCCGTACTTTGGCCTTGTGAAGCGCGCCATGAACCGTCCGCCAAGTGTTCGTGGTATGTTCATCTTCTCAAACGACAAAAGCACTCACGGAATATGCGTGTTAGATCCGTGGTGGGGGGCCCACCAAGTAATACGACTGCCACTCAGATCTGAGAACGGAAATCTTAGAGCAAGCTGATGTAGAGCAAGTGCGGTGGCACGTATATCAAGATCAAAGAGCCCGACAACTACAAGAAAAAGAAGCGAAACAAACCCGCCGCCGACACGGCGCAAACAACGATGGCCACGTTTTTCAAACCCGAACTCGGCGATGTCAAGCCACCGGTCGTGCCCACCAAGCGCGCCCGTCCCTCTGCACCACCAGCACCCAAGCAACCCACACGCGCGGTGCTGGCTGGGTTCTTTGATCCCGTCCCGACCAAGAAACTCCGTGCCGAGGCAACCGTCGACACCATCGACTTGACGCTAAGCGACTGAGCGACAGTAGAGTGGTTCATGACATGTGACGTTGTCTGCCTGTTGTAAGAGCTGCGCGACAATGACGATGAGGTTTCGTCCCGCGTGAAATAGAGAGTGTACAGGCTTGGTAGGTCTGGCAGGCGCGCTCTCTATGGGAGCTGACGCACACTCTACTACCTCGGGTAGCAAACTGGTCCTCAAACGCGAATGTTTCCATGGCCAACCCAACTAGATGTCCAGAAACAGACGTATCGTGAGGCTTTCTGTGCTAGTGACCAAGTGAGTCTTCAAGTACGCTCACGCACGCACTTTAGACAATAGAATATTGTACAAAATGAGACACATGTGCCGTGTTTCTACTACTACCTGCGACTAGCTAGACCTAGTATTCTGCACCGATCGGACGCGCTACTGCCCCATCATAAATACGTGGATGTTTCAATGTCGGACGCCGACTTGGAGCTCATCAACTTCTTCTTGCGGTTCTTTCGGTCCGGGCTCGTCGAGCCCTCCCTAAAATATAGTGTTTAAATGAATTTCCGATCGCACTATATCGATATTCGCGTCGAGAACGCACATGATCTCGTTGATATTGTCCCATTTGTTGGAAATGCGCATGTTGCCAACGGCTTCGGCGATGCGGTGCTTTCGCACCAACGACTCTATAGTGCCTAAAGTCAGACAGGAGCCTGGTAGACGATTATGGCTACCAAGCGCGATTTTCTTGCGGGCGTCAATGAGTGCTTGTTTCTTGATCTTGATCATGCGGCTACGCTCGTCCTCCTCGGAAATGCGTAACAGCGTTTGAATGCGATTAAACTCTTCGACTAGGAGATAGTCGCGATGAGATTGTGTCGTGTCAGTACTATATACATCAGACAAAATAGGTATATACCTTTCTTGAGCCGCTCGACGTTGGCTTTCTTTTCTTCGAGCGTCAGGTCGCGCTCGACGGACTTGAGTGTTCGCTCCTTGCTGCGCTCCGTGTAGACCACATCGAGGTGGGTTTCCTACATATCGCAGGTACGTGTGGATGAGCGCGCTGTCGAAACCAATATATATATTGTACGAGTTGATGCCGCTTCTTGACGATCGTATCGACGCGCTCGCTTTGGTTGTTCCTAGCCGCTTCGACGCGCTGGAGCCGGATTTCTTCTTCCTTGCGATTGCGCTCGGCCCGGTCTTTGAGCTCTGCACAACGACATATTGAATATATCTCTATATCGAGAGCGACGGCAATATCGAATGACCTTGCATTTCCTTTCGGTGCACTTCCATGGCCCGTGCGGCCGCGAGCTCTTGCTTTTGCTCGAAATCTTGCTTCTTCTTTAGCATGACGTTCTGATTCTGGTCCAATGCGGCTTGAATGCGCGCGTTGGCCTTCTCCCGCCTAGGCAAAGTTCCATATCATTATATACATATTCATTTGTCGACGACGGCGAACCTGGCAGCCGCTTCTTGCCGTCGACGCTCGTTGGCTTCGGCCATCTTTTTCTGCGCTTGCTCTTCGCGCTCAATGACCCGGCGCCGGTTCTCCATAATTTTGTTTTCCTAGTGTCCCATGATATATACATTCGCATGCCCCATTCAATGCGTACTTGTTGCTGGAGTAGCTCTTCGGTTTGTCGACGATGCAGCTCCGCTTTCTGCTTGCGATCCATCTCGCGCTCGGCCATTTCCTATGTATTCCACGCGTAATATCCGAAATGAGTGCAACGCGGGTTGTTGGGCCGAGAGAGTCGTACGCGATGGCGCAGTTTTTCTTGACGGCGCTCTTCTTCCAGCAGGATCTTTTCCTTTTCGGCTTCGCGTTTCGCGCGCTGACGGCGTGCCGCCGCCTCGGCATCCTACGCAGAGTTGCAACCTCAATATATTTTGGATAGCGCGCTACCTCGCTCTTCTTTTTTCAATATTTCGCGATCGTGCTTGGCCGCGACGAGGGCCGCGCGGCGCTCCTTCTTTTCCTTTTCCCACTCGGCCTTGCGCTTCGCTTCCTGTGCGTCGCGCAGCGCATTTTGCTTGAGAATTTCGGCCATCCGCGTCTCCATTTCAATGATACTGGCGATTTCGCGCTCTTGCCTATACATAGTATGCAATCATCCATGGTCCTACCTAGCAATAGAATTCGTACCGAATCTTCATGGCCTGGAACCGCTTCTCTTCCATCTCCATCATCGTCGAGTCCGTCACGACGACCTTGTCCGGTACCGACGCGTTAAACACGTCAAACGGCGAAATCGTCTTCTACGCAGGTTTGCATGAGTGCTGCTTTCGATTGGCAACGGCGATGGCAATCTTGATCTATCAGGATTGCCATCGCCAAGTCGCGGGCAAGCAGAGGTACATGATTGTCGTTCGAGTCGTCGAACGGCTAAGAGACACAAGACGAGATATGCATAATCGACACACAGAGAGACATGCAAGTACGAAACATAATGAGAGATACCTTCTTGGGACTCAGTTTGGCGAGGATCGGCGACCCCGTAAAGCCGGCATCAACCAGCTTTTGTTTTTCCCGGCGAAGCAGTCCGATCTTGGTTTGACGTCCTTCTTCAAAATGGGTAAAACGAAGGTGGGCGGCCTCGCGCTCGACGTCGTCGTGCTTGTGCTTGTGGTGTAGGAAATCTTCAAGGACCCTAGTGTCGTTTAACGTCTTTAGCGGCAAGGGAATATATATTGCACAGTACCGCGGGATGATCTCGTCAGGCTCAATGCCCGTGCGAAGACACGCTTCGAGGGCGCGGGGTGTTGTGGGTCGGACGCCTTGCAGGATCGCATCCTCGAGGGACACGGCTTTCTTGGGCATTTCGCGTCTTCGGTTCGTTGTTGGAAACTAGCGCCGACTGTATAATTAGGAAGCGATGATAAAATTAGAGTTGGCCAGTTGAAGACGACGCACTAAACTTAGCCATAGTAGCTTGCTTTATGCACTGCGCTCTTGCCTTGATTGAGAGCGATGGCCATACGAGAAACCATGCTTTACGTAGTGCTGAGCACGATACGCGTTGCATTGACCATATTCAAAGTCGTACAAGTCGTGCGGCCGCAAGGATCGATGGGGGCACAGGTAGCAATTATTGCTCTACCCCACAGAGGACCGAGCGTTGCGGCAGGCAGCCCAAGCACACCCCTCACTTTCTGGGAGCGGCGCCACAGAATACGTGCCCATCGGAGCTGTCAGTACACAATTTTTGCAATCCTGTTAATACTGCACGCTTGAACGACGGCATTGAGGAAAACCGAGAAATGGTCGAAAGTCGTGCGCTTGCAAGGATCGAAGGGGTGACCATCTGCACCATCTGGTTTGAAACTCGACATGACGTTGCAGGCAGCTCGCAGCAATCCCACCCACAACTGCCCCTTCTGAGGACGGAACTGCATTTGCAACTCCATCTCGAACGTCTCGAATGCTGTCTGTACTATCTTTTTGAGCGCCAATATCAATGCGCATTGTGCACATGGAACGCACGAGGCGCGCGCCAACTGATCGAACAACCGGCCAATTGCGTCTCCAGCTTGGTTGATGGGGGCTGATGGGTCAGTAGTTCCGGCCCTCAGACATTGCACTGTGCCGTGGCCGCCCGTTGCTGACGCGCTCGCTTGAAGACGAAGATCTCGTCACCGGCCCGTCTTTCGAGAAGCGCCCTCCAGAGCCGCAAAGTCCTCACGCAGCTAACGTCCTCGCGCAGTACAAAGAGCTATGGACCGAGGCGATCGTTGCCGCTTGTCCCGGCGTTCCGACGCACGGCGCCAACTCGTGATGCCGACTCGTGCTTCTGGTCAGGACCAATATTCCTGGATATGAAGCTGCCTAGATCGATACTAGCATGGCGTTTATTCGCGTTAATCAACACGGATGGAACTGTCTGTACAGCTCAACCTCGCCACCAACGCCGCGTGTAGTCACATGCATCTGAATACAATATATTGTGGCTCGTCGAGCGTGGGAGGGTAGCCCGTCGGCTAGAGCGTCGAGACGAGGGCGCTTTGACGGCGGTGGATGACCGTCATCATCCATGTTCGCTGCTTCGAGCAGCTTCTGGAGTTTTGCACCGCTGTTGGTATCGACGTGGAGCTGCCGCAGGCGCCGAACGCGCGTGTTGAGATCGGTCAAATTGCATTTTTGCGCGCTTCCGAACCACGTTTGGTCCTATCATCGCCTCGGACATCGCATCGTACAAGCGCGGCAGGTCGTCAACGATGTCCGTCATCGGATCTCCAATGTCGGTGCTCTTGTTGTGCAAGCCAAGCTGACCTCGATGGTCACGAGCGAGATCTTCGAGTGCCTCCCAGAGACCGGCACTTGTCAACTCAAACTCGAGCCGCGTGCCGTCGCGCAAAATGGCGGCAAACGTGGCGCGCAGTACGTCGACGGCAATGTCATCGATGCCAAGCTCGCTCAAATCGGGCACGGGCATCCGCGCACGGCCTGTCCAACAGTTCGCCACACACATCATCGAGGCGGCAAGAGCCGTGAGGAAGCTGCTTCCACGTTTGGAAAACGACAGCGTCGAGCACGTAGAGGCACGCATGACGACCGCGACAAGGCCCTCGCCTTCTCGCACGCGACCGTCGGCGTTGAACACCGGGGCGATCGAAACAATGTAGTTGGTCCCGGGCGACTCGACAGGGAACGCGACCGGGGTCCATATCTGGCGCGATACGCCCTATCTTGAACGATCGATGGTTTTGAAACAACATGCAAATAGAGTTAGTCGGCCGATTTATAGTCGAAAAAAGTTGTCTAGTCCTTAGTTGCCGCCGCGCTTCTTCTTGCCGCGGCGTTCACGGCCCTTTTGCGCATTCGGGTTCATGCGGCCGTAGCCAATCGTGATCGATGTCTGCTTCTCCACCTTGACGCCAAGATCATGGGCCACGTGTTCACCGAACGCACTCTTCATGACCTTGGAGCTGGCCTTCTGGCGCTGGCCCCAAATGCCGTGCATGAGCTGATCTTCGCGGAGAAGGAGGTCGCCTTGCCGGCCACCCTTGGGCGCCGGGAGCGAAAATTTGGTACCGCGCAATTTCTACAAACATATCAATGTATCAAGCGCTCCAGTTCAAAATGGAGACACAATACCGTCGGGCGGTTGGCGCGCGTGTAGAGTGTCAGCTGCTCAGTCTCCTTGTCGAGCGAGCATGCGACGCGCTCCAAGGTGGCGTTGCCACAGACAGGGCAGAACTGGCGCTCGAGCTCGGTCGTCGTCTTGAAGCACGCAACGCACTTGAGCACCCACTGCTTGACACGCTTGATGACCATGCCGTCCGTCGAGAGCAAATGCAGACCCATTTGCAGCATGACGTTCTACAAGAGGCACGTATCAACATCACACGTCCAATATCCAATATCCAAAAATCCAAAAAAAATCCAGGAAAATCCAGAAAAATTCTGAAAAAGCCAAACCAAAGCCAAGACGTACCTGCATCGAATAATCGGTCGTGATGCAGCCGACCTTCATGTTCTCGTCGACCTTCTCGACGGCAGTGCCCGTGCCGAACGGCGACGTCGTAAACTGCGTCGCGTTCTCGACATTGACCCAGTTCTTGCCATCGTCGTCGTCGGCGCCGACGTTGCTCTGCGCGGCAAAGCCCGCGCTCAGAATGCGCGACTTGACATCGGCGTGGCGAATCTCATCGCGCACCACCTGCTTCTCGGCGATCGGCGCCGGCGGGGCCGCGACCTGGAGGTCTTCGGGGGCCACCTTGATGTGCTGAAAGCGGCACGATTCGCCGTTGCCGCAGCCGGCCTCCGAGTTGAAGTAGCGGCACGGCGCGTCAATCTTGGGCAAGGGCGCCGCCTCGACCGCATTGTCATTCAGGTCGTGGCTGAACGGGCACTTGTCGCCGTTGCGGCAGCCCGACGCCAGCGCGAGGAAGCGGCAGCGCACCTTGGACGCGGGCACGGCGGCCTTGGTCCCCGTGACGACGGTCTCGGCGAGCTTGGGCTTGGTGCGAAGATGCTCGACGCCGTTCGTTTCGCGCTCAAACATGTAGGTCAAGGCCATGATGCGCAGATCCGTGAGCGAGAGGAACTGAAAGTCGCCGGTCTGGCGCGCAAAGGCCGCGACGGCCGCGAGGTCCTTCTCGGACGGGTCGCGCGTCTGGAGCTCGACGGGGAGGCGCGCCACGAAGCGCCGAGCCTTGCTGTCCTTGATTTCGTTGAGGACATCGTTGGTCGTCCAGAGGTTCTCGGCGACGTTGGTCAAGTCGGTCATCTTGATGAGCGCGCCGGCATCGATCACGAGGTGCTGCAGCTTGGCCGCCATGGTGTCGTCGTCGAGGTTGTCGAAAAGCGAGAGATGATGCGGGACAGGCCAACCGCGTTGCAGCGGAAACCAATCAAAATGGCCACGGAAATAGTGTACGGTACACGATTTCCGTGACACGCCATGGTCATGCGACGCGTGAAATAGTGTGCAGTCGATCTTGACACGCGAACCTTCGCGCGATCCTGTTCGATCAACTTGCCAACTTGCGACGAACTGGAATCATATCGACGAGGACTTGTATGCGTACTATGAGGACGTATCTGGCTGCAAGGCCATGATGCTCAACCATCAAACCATCAACCCGTCTCCGATCCATGGGACAGGACGTGAAGAAAATGGTGTCGCGGGAGATGAAACCACGTGCCGACTTCGGCGTTGCGCCAGCTGCGGCATGGAGATTGCAACACGCCACCACGCTATTACTCAGTACGTGGCCTGCGTCTGAAGGACCATATTGTTGGAATGTCAAGACGATGGGAGCCGCCAATGGTCCTCCTTGGGTGCGGAACTGCGCACTTGCCTTTGCGACACCAACAACAACAGTCCATCTCGCTGGACTGCAACCCGTGCTGGCTATCAGTACTGTACCCGAACCGCTTGGTCGGTGTGTGGCCGCATCTCGCGCGTCCGGCGGTGCAGTCACGGTAGTCTCGTCGATGCGCGCTCTCGATGGAGGAACGCTGGCTAACGTAGTTGGCAGCAGTGATTTTTAGTATCTGTCTCAATGAGATGGATCGCGATGAGCTCTTTTCGTCGCGCGACGTGTTGTGTGCCACATGCCTTGGCAGCGATTTCTTGGCTGTCTTGGCATCCCCACCGCCTTGGATCCTGTTGTAAATCGAGCATTGGCGAATGCTACGGCAATGAACCCATACCAAATCCCAGCGTCTTCCCGCGAATATGGCGACATCTCGGTGCGTGGACCGACTTGCAGAGGCTATTTACCGCCCTTGGCATCGTCGCTCGTACGGTTTCAAGATACTAGTGAGATCCCTTATACATAATGTACCCCTGCATTCCTACATTCCTAATGCTATGTTTCAAAAGCAATCCTATTCACTACAAGTCGACCTTGGTCGTCGAGACGACGCTGGCCGCGTCGACGAGGACACCATGGAGGTTGAGCTCGTCGTCGTCGTCTTCGTCGTCAGCAATCGACTCGGTGTAACGCTGCGGCTGCAAGAACGAGTTGTTGAGATCGTCGTCGTCGTCGTCCATATCGGAGAACCCGCCGCTAAACACCGAGAGTGACCTACCTTCTTCGAGGAAGCTGTGCCAGAGCGCGCTCGGCCGATCGTTCTCGTCATCATTGTCGTCATGGTGTTCGTCGATGCTCTCCACGACCGAGATGTGTCGAGGTGGCGCGTCACCGCGCGTCGATTCGAGGAGCGGGAGCCCGTTCTGGCCCCCGCGCTGCGAGAGCACGAAGAAATCGTCGTTGAACGTGCGCAGGGCGGGATCCATCGGCGTCGCCTTGGTGTCGACCGGCGGTGCGTACTCGGTCGCGTCCGACGACGAGAGCGCCGTGTCATTCTGTGACGACGCCTCGCCGCGCAGGCCGCCCACAGTGGAGAGCGATAGGGACGGCGCGGGCAGCCCAAGATCCATGAGCGATCGGCGCGAGTGGCCGCAAAAGAGCGGCGACGAGCTCACGAGCGAGGCGGCGAGCGCCCGGTCCTTCGTGGTCGCGCCGGCTCGACGCTGGCGGACGCAGATGCCAATGAGCAGCAGCAGCACGATGGCGATGACGCTCACGACGATGTACTCGGCGGCGGTCATGCGAGTCGACAAATGCGTCTCCTCGTTCGCAGCGCTGAAATGATGCGAAGGTGCCAGCACCTGCGATCTGGCATCTCAGATTGCACTGCCATCGATCGCCGAAGGTGCGACATGTGCATATCTAACACGTTCTAACATCTCGATCATCCGGAAACGACAACTATGTCCGGTAAAAGAGCCACCACGTCGTTAGACGTGTGTTACAATGGTTAGACCGCGTGGACCAGCTGGTCCAGGACGCTGGCTCCGGACGACAGCACAACGTAGTACGAACAGTAACAGTGTTCCAACACACCAGCTTGCGTAGCAACCAACGTCAAGATATGCTTGACAGGACTGGAATGATCTTCATCGACAACCGTCTATACTAGCAAAATCGACTAATAGACATCTTCTGCATTGGTCGCTGTAGGTGCAAGTGCGTGTAGTTGTAGCCGGGTGGGTGGCGCCATGGAGACACCCGGTTTGGCGTGGTGGCGGAGCCTGGCGTCACTCGATCTCTCGTCCGAACCCACGACCCCAACAGCAACAACTATCCATTTATCAAGTGCGATCAGTGGCTCTACTCTGCCCGCAACTATCAGAACAGCTACCGGTAGTGGGTGGTAGCAAGGAATGGCCCTCGAATATATGGATGCTAAACTAATCTGTTAAGTTAATTGGCGGCAAGTGGTCCTCACACGATCGAGTCCCGGCTCTCGCCGTCGCTGTCCGACGTCGACCGGAACGTCTCAAAGATCGACCGGGACGTGTCCATCGCACTCATCCACTCGGCGGCGTCGGCGTGCTTGGCTTGCAGCTCGCTCGGTCGCACCGTGTAGCTGTCCATGGTGCCAGCTCGGATCTCGATCTCTTCCTGGATGCGGCTTTGCGACCCGAAAATGCCATCTTCGCCACCCGTGAGCTCGTAAATGCGCTGCGATTGGAGCAGCATGAGGCTGCGCGAGCTCTCCACCGGCGACTGCCACCCCGCGCTACGGAGGCTCTGCAGCGCGTTTGGCGGTGCCACATCGGCCATCATGTAGCGCGAGCTCTCGATCGGGGACTGCCATTCGGTGCTCGACGGCTCCAGTGGCACCGCGCTGGACGCCTTTCGGAGGACGCTGCCGCGCGACGACTTGCGCGCCGGCGGCTCTTGCAGCATCGCGGGCTCGATTGGCTTGGGAAAGTACTGCTCAAAGTCCTGGGCCGACGCCGTGCCAGGCGATGGCACAAAGCCGTGCTTGCTCGTATCGTCGTGCGGCGACGACCGCCACCGGCGCGACATGTAGACACCGGCCATAAAGATGACGCAGCAGAGCGCGACGACGACGGCAGTGGTGATGCCAACGATGGCGGGAACCGACATGGTGTGGCCGTCGGCGGGCGGTGGCGTGGCCAGAATCGCATTGTGGTCCGCGGTTGCGTTCATGGCCATGGAGCCGTCCGTCGTATGGACAGAAGCGAGCAGCAGCAGCCCAAGAGAGATCTGTGCACACGTCCGCATCTCTGCAAATGGAGCGCAGTGGCGCGCCTCTGGCCTCGCGCCGTCTTGTTACGCAGGTTCCAAACACCTGATCTGTTGGGCTGCCTGGATCTCTCGGGACAGGCCATTCGGCGGCAGAGTGTGGTACGTTGGCTAAACGCACCCAGATTTGGCACCGGCGCCATTCTTTTTGATGGTCGTTTTGTACGGTGCTGGCTGATCGCTACGTACTTGGTGTCTATTGGCTCCATGGACAGTGTCCAAGAGTAGCTAGCATGTCTGCGACGACAGCGACATGGACAGATTGCCTTGCCGCAGCGCCAACATGCGAGTGCACGGTGGTAGGTTTGCATTAAAGCCTGCATCTAGGCACTGCAGAATTGGTAGTCGTGTCGCCTTGTTGCCCCAGACATGCTGCCATGCTCTCGTTGTTTGCCTGCGAAAGTGGTGGGCGTGCATGGATAGCCAGAAGGCTGCAAGTGGAGTGTTTTCAGCCTTTCAACACATCCTTCAGCACGCCAAGATAATGCGTTCACGACGAGGTACCGGTAGGCTTTCTCTGTAGTCCATGTAAGTCTCATGGGGACTGCGCTCTCGCCGGCGATCCAGTTGCGTTGAAATAGATCGTCGTATTTCCACCTGTCATTGCGGCCGTTCCAAGTCGCATGGGACACGCCAAAGCGTCGGGGATCGACGACAGCCTTTACGCGCGCCTGACGTGACGCGTCGACCGTCGCCTGTGGTGGGCACATCGAGTCGGAGCGTCCTTTGTACGTGCAAGGGAATCCCTTGGTGGCACCTACCTTCGATTGCTGAACGCTAGTACGCTTCGTGTCGCATTCCGCTTGCATTTACAATGTACCTTGGATACATTACACAGCGTATATAAACATCAAAGACTACAGTGGCCTGCAACTTTACCCGACAGAGATTCATGGTCTTTTTATTCGGGCTATAAATAATGTTTTAAGCCGTTCGATGCGCTAAACGCGCTATTTATCGATAGCCGAGACATAGAGGAACACGAATATAGTTTGATCTTCTTCGTAGCATGTCTAGTTGCTGAGTAATAGAAGCTGGAAGACGGACCATTTAAGGTGGGGAGGGGCCGAAAATGTCCACTTCCAGGGCCTGTACACCGGGCCACACCGGCTTTATCCGTACGAAATCTCTTTATCCGGATGCAGTGCCCCGGGCTACGAAAGTGCTTCGCTTGATGTTCGTCGCTGTCACGACCAATTCATGGGACGACGCGGCAAGCAAGCGTCTCATCTGCGCCGCGCCAGGGCAGCTATTTCTGAGGCCAAGCGCCTGCGCTAGGCGACGTTATCGAACTGGAGAGCGACAGCACCGACGAGGAAGACGATAACGGCGCCCACGAGCCTTGCCAACTTGTACAAGTACGTGCTTTGATCCACCACTTGGACACCAACTGAGGCATTCCATCGTAGGAAGGTCCGCTCGCGTACAAAGTCGGGATCATCGACATTGACAGCGATGACGAGCTCGATCTGTGGAGCCCCCTCGATGCGTGGGGCGATGCTGTGCAGGGCCTTTCGTACCCTAAAGTTGCACCGAGTAAGGCATGGGGCCAAGGGCAAGAGGACGCTACAGCGTCACGATCCTGCGCGAGCGCGAGCTGCTCGGCCCGCCGAGACGATCCTGGGGCAGTGCGGTAAGACGCCCTGCACGACGGAAGAGCCGTACTCTTGCTGTGCATTCAACTTGCTCGGCCACCAACCCGACTTTGCCGCTCAGAAGTCGATGCTTGAAGAGGTCTTTGAAGGTAGCGGTCACGTCATGGACCTCCTCCCCAAGCTCCATCCCGAGTTCAACCGGATCGAAAATTATTGGGGAAGCGCCAAGGTCTACTGCCGCCAGCACTGCGACTACACATCCAAGAGCCTTCGCGAAACGGTTCCAGCGGCTCCCTCTGCAGCATGTTCAACGCTTCGAGCGGCGTTGTCATCGCTACCTGCAGGTGTACGCAGCTGGGCTTCCACCGCATCTCGCAGAGTTTGTCGTCAAGAAGTACAAATCCCATCGCTCCATTCCGTCGGTGTTCCTTATGGAACGCATGGAGGCCGAATTTGCAGCTAAAAAGACCCAGAAACCGACGTATATTTGCCCTCTTTTCTTCTCTTGTGCGTTCTTCAGCTCTCTGCGGTGTCAAAATGACGCTAGGGAGGATTTTACGTATTGAAAAATTTCCGACCAAATTTGTCCACTTTGACTAAAATTGTCGGGTTAAGTTGCGGGGTACTATACCTAGCAGTATCTTGCACAAGGTGTTTGGGCCGAGAAATAGTGAGCAGGATCCAGCTCAACCGAAGACGGTGCGAACGATCGGCGAAAGCAAGTGCCGTCGACGATCACAGACACTCGCATGGAGGAGTGGATACCAGCTCGGGCACGGTGGCGGTTCTGCATTGCGAAGTGCGGCACACTCTTCTCCTCGCCAGTCTTTCCAGCCCTCGCTCCATCGTGACCGGCTTGGATTTCAGACGCACGGGCGAATCAGCGAGCGTCTTGACTTGAATTTTGGCCAATCCGCGTCGGCAATTACCGAACCAAGCCCGACCAGCCTTTCGACCAGGAATGCGTTGACAGAACCAGGCACCAAGCTACTCGCACCCTAGAATGGTACACAAGTGCAGCAGTCCGACGGCAATTTGTTGGTCCTTCAACTGTTTGTGAAGCCGACAGGCGACGAGCAGTGCGGTGGCAGCTTGCAGTGGCAGCAACCCTAGTCGCTGACGTTGCCACGTCCACCGTAGACAAGGCACACTCCAGCATCAGTCCCAGCGTCGGCACCCGGACGGTCCATGCAACAGACATGCGCGCACGGGCGACGCTATGCACAATCCTCGAGCCCGACGCGTATGACGCGATGGCGTCACTATATGTAGTGGACGCGGCAGATGAGAGAGCTGCCTTCAACTGAATGCACCGGTTGCAACAAACAGTATTACAAGATTTCATGCTAGACCCTACAACTACGTACTTTTTCGACTTTGGATACAAACGAAAGTGACTACAGCTCCATTTCAATCATGTCCTCGCTCGACTCGCTACCGGCATGCAGCGAGGACATGCGAAAGAGCGAGCCTGAGCTCGGGTAAATGTCCGAGCACTCGGAGATGGCGTGGCTGCTCGGGCCGCGCGACGAGTCAAAGCTGCTCAAGTGGCTCTCCGAATACGTCCCGGGGCCCACAGACGAGCTTGCGATCGACGACCCGCCAAACTGAACGGGCACATTGGGCGACTGGTTGCTCGTGATCGTATCACGGCCCAAGAGCACGTCCCAGAGCGCTTGGTTGCTGCGCATCGGTGATGCCGTCAGCGCGTGCACTGGCGTCTGGTTGGACGACGGCGCGCGCCTTGCCGTAAAGGGCGCGTTGCTGCCAAGAAACGTCGTGTTGTGCATCGAGCTGTTGTGGGTCCGATGCATGCTGGGCGAGACGCCACCGCCGTACGGCTCGCCATCCGGTGCTTTGAACGCCGCCGACGATGCGCGTTCGTGATTGGACCGGCGGTAGATGACGACGGCAACGAGGATGCCGACGACCGCGACGCCGCCCGTGAGCCCCAGAATGAGCGGCAGCGACGAGGCATTCTCCGGTGCCTCGGCCGACGTCTTGGACAATGGCGTCACGGTCGTTGACGGGACGACGGTACTCGCCTCTTCTTTGGTCGGAGCAACGCTGGCTGGAACATCGGGCAGCGGGGTTGCCGTTGGCGGCAGTGTCGTCGTCAATGATAATGCATCTGTCGTTGGCGACGACGTGGTTGTGGGCACAACATCCTCGGTCGTTGGCTCGGGCGACGGCGCTACTGTGACCGGCGCTTCCGTTGGCGCCTTGGTTGGCGCGGGTGTTCGCGGTGGCCGTGTGACGGGTGGCGGTGTGGGCCGCGCCGTCGTTGGAAGCGGTGGCGGCGGCATTGTCACGGTCGTTGGTAGCGGTGTCACTGTTGGCGCCGGTGTCGGCGCGGGTGTTGGCGCCGGTGTTGACGTCGGTGTTGACGTCGGTAGCTCTGTCGTGGGCGACGACGTGACGAGTGGTGTCGGCGTCGGTGGCAGTGTCAGCGTCGAGTCATTTTGTGCGGCCACGGCCACGGCTGCTGCCAGCAGCAGACGCAAAAGCAGTCGCATCCTGTCCGATTTGGTTGTGATGGAAACCACATGATGGGTGCGGCGTGACTTTGAACCTCGAAGTTTGCCATTGACCTTGGCCGAATCTACTTGATTTTAGCGGATGGTCCCGATAGCTTCGAACTTCGATCGAAGCACCACAGATGCAGTGTCGATCTCGACCTAGACAGGACAGACAACTGGCTCGTCGCGACGACGTGCAAAGGGCCGCGTCTTCCTGAGGCCGCCGCCGACTCTTCACGCGGCGACGGTCCCGCCTCTTCATGCAACCCACGCCCACCGGCTGGTGTATACGCGCTACTGGAACGGAGTCCTTTTAGGCTTTGGTCGCACCCAAGACAACGACGCCAGCAGCTCATACAACAGCAAAGGCCGACCAGTGAGTATGAGGCAGTAGCAAGTGTGTAGCAGCGCTCCTATAGCCACCGCAACGTTCGAGAGAAGACGAACATTGCCATGTCGACCTCCTCGGGTCCACGACGCTTGAGCGCTCGACAACATCGAACTTGTTGGATGGGGCAACCTGGTGCAAAGCCACGGCGCAAGGCGATCCAAGCGCCACGCGGGTGGCATGGGACAGCGAGACGTTGACAGTTGGATGCGCAGTAGACGATGGAAGACAGGCGAAAGGCGTACAACAAGCAGAAGCGTAGTACTATTATATTACGAGAAGAGCGCCATGAGTGCCTTGATCGCGTCTTTCGGGGCTTGCATGTGGGCGTAGCCCTTGAACTCACTCTCATGGAACGAGTCAAAGAGACTCGACCGTGTTGCCTGTGAGACGTGCATCATGCGCTCGAGGTCCTCGATCGAAATGTCCAAAAACCGAAGCTACAACGTGCATGAGGCCCAACCGCTCAAGAGAGTCCACGAGAGAATGCAACCTGGTCTTTGAGCTCGACCACGCGCTGGCAGAGCGCGGTTTGCTCGTTCGCAAGCTCTTGCGCACTCGCCTGCCCGCGGCTGCCCGCGGGGCGCACGTCTTCCGTGGCGACAGGCGGCGCCGCTGCGGCCAACGCCGCCAACGTCGACGGCACCGTCTCCAAGAACGATCGCCACTCCTTCTCTTGTTCTTGCAGTCTATGTCGAGTCACATTAGAAGAGAGCAAGGCGTGCATCGCATTGTACGAGGCGAGCTTTTCTTCCAGCGAGGTTAGGATGGCGTGGACCGTCTCTTGCTGCGGCTTGGCTTCCTCTTCCGTCGGCTACATCATATCCATTAGATTCGGCGATCGAGGTATGGCGTATGTACCTGGTTGGAGGCGAACTGGTCCTTGATGACGGCCGCCGCCTTCTCCACTAGATAGGACAAAAGCCATGATGGCGCTGTGGGAAGCGCCAGCAAGACGACGTACGCACGTGGACCACTTGCTTCTTTGTGCATGTTTCCTTGGCCGCGCTCTGCGTCTGGGCCACGATGCGTTTGTGGAGTTGGGTACATAAGGTATCGAACATTTGCAGTCGATGGTGCTCTTGGTTGGCGACGAGCTTGGCACGAATGCCCACCTCGTCCGGCGTCGGCTCCCGCCGGGTGGTCCTCCGCATGGCTTTCGCCCGGGACGGCGTGCCAAAGAGCGCGCGTTCTGGAAGGAGCGACTCGTCGCCGAGAAAGTCACCATCGTCGTCGTCGTCCATGGCATGCTCATGGATGTCGATGGCTCCATGGCGACGCGCCTTCTTCTTCGTGAAGACAAAGGGCGATGCGACCTTCTGCGGCGTCTTGAAGACGAAGGGCCGCTTCCTAGGACGAGGAAGCATGAACATAGACCTTCCATGGACCGCTTCGAGCGCGTACGATGGCTCCCGCGCGTGCTTCCGGCGCGGTCCCTCGGGCATGTCCCTCGTCGGTCCGTCGGCTAGAATTCAAATTCTCGACTGTTTGAAACAAACGACTACCATTGGCTAAAAATCAACGAATGGCAGCGAGCTTTCGCAGGTTAATGGCACGCCACCTATGGCAGTTGGAACGCGAAGTCGTCTCCGTTGCCTCGCGCGTCCTCGACATGGCGCTTCATTCTTCGACTGTATTCTATTGTTGTGTTGTCTTTGACATGAAAGGACGTATTAAGTGTCCTGTGGATCGAGGGCCATGGGATGCCAATGTCTTAAAGTTGCGTGTAGGTAGCCAACTCATTATGTCAAGTATAAAAATAGACAGTATATTTACACTTGTTGAACGTATGACTCGTCAATAAATTTAATCCTTCCAATGAGATGCCACGAAAAGCGCGCGAGTTCAGGCTGCAATGCCATTGATGTTCAAGAGCACATTGGACTTTTGCTGCGCGACAAAGACGTCCGCGAGTAAGTTCTGGTTGCCGTTGCCAGCGATCACGAGATCGGCGTTCGAGGCCATCGCGCTCGTAATGTCCAGCCGCTGCATCTTGAGCAAGTACTCGCGCTGGAGCTGAAGCTTGCTGGACGCGGCGCCTTCGGCGTCGGCGAGGATCTCATTCACGCGGGCATCGCCGAGAGCCTGGAGCCTGTCGACGTCCGCCTTCATCTTGACCACGAGCGCGTCACGTTCGGCGAGGATCTTCATGACCTCGGCGTCGCAAGCCGCCTTGATTTCCGTCTGGATCATCTCGGTCTCGGCTGCAATCTTGGCAATCGAGAGGTCAGCGTCCGCGACAATCTTGGCGCAGCGCACGCTTTGCTCTTGCTGGATCTGTGCTTCCAAGAGCTTGGTGTCGGCCATGATGACGTCAATGTCTTTTTGGATTTCGGCGCACTGGCTGCTCCCCGCCTCGGTTTCTTCCATGCGGCGCATGCGCTTCGAGAGCTTGGTCGTGTCGATCGCTTCCTTGTACTGGAGCAGCTGCATGTCGCTCTGCTGCTTCATCGTCTGCTCCTTGATCGCGCTCTGGTACGTGGTCTTTTCTTCCATTTGCGTCTCGAAATTTTGCGGCAAGAGCACGTTTGTGATCGATACCGTGCTAATCTCGACGCCGTACGGGTTGAACTGCTTGTTGAGGTTGTGCTTGATGTCTTCCGTGACGCTGTACAGAATTTTGGCCGCTGGAATATCGCCATGTTCCGCCGAGGCGTCGACCTGGAGGTACTTGACGGGCATTGCGAGCGCCGGCGCTGTCTTCCCACGCGGCTGGTCGTCGTCCTCTTCCTTCGTCTCTTCGTCCTCTTGGATTGCATCGTGGGGCAGAAGCGGCGCGGTCGGGCCGCGCATCTGCAGCGAGTTCTCCAGCCGCTCCTTGACCGTGCCGTCGCGAAGCGAGTAGACTTCCGTGTGCTCGACGTTGCGGGCGAGGGCGCGGACGGCTTCTTCTTGGGCGTTCCGAAGCTGCGTCTCAAGACCTTGCGGGCCGAGCTCGTACACGAATCGCTTGACGAGCGCGGGGTCTTCGCCCTTCTCTTCGTCGCCCATGATGCGGAAGACGAGACCCATGTCAATGTGGACCGTGACGTTGTCGGCGGTCTTGCAGCCCTTGACCGGCGTGTCAAAGACGACGTTTTGCTTGGTCACGAGGTACGCAATCTTGGTAAAGACCGACGCCATGTGAAACCCTGCGGGCCAGAGCGGGCTGTGGCGGCCGTCGGGGTAGACGTAGTCGATGTCGCGGCCATAGCGCTGGACGATCGCATACATGCCTTCGGGGATGCACAAATACGGCTTGATCGGATTGCGGCCTGGCTGCAGCATCACGATCGTGTTGCCGTCCTTGCACGAGCCAAACTTCTCGTTGGCCTTGTCCGCGCTCTTAATGTGATCAAAGATCAAGTGCGTCTGGGCCTTGGACTTGGCGTCCATGGTCGTGGTGGCGGTGGTGGTTGTGCGACTCATGCCGAGTGTTGGGAAATTGAAAAATGAAAATGCAATCCAAACAAACGGCAACGTCGATCTTGGAGGGTTGTTGCACCTGCCTGGCCGTGTCGCAAGCTGGAGTGGCAACAGAGGACCGAGGGGCGTTGGACAGACGTGTGAAGATGCATCTCACGTACCTGCCATGGATCAATCTTCAATAAGCTGTGCTCAGATTCAAGAGAAAAGGTGTGTCCCAGCTCCAAAGATCGCACTGGATGCGGACTGCAAACGAATCTTGTATCCAGCAATTGGATTTTTCAAAATGGACCGTGTTGGACACGTGTTTTTATCGTAAGAGCATACAAAACGCTAGTCAAACGCCATTTAAATATCGCACGCGGTTGTACGATCTGAGACACTGTTTTATTTTTGTCCACATCCACAAGACAGGTGGGACATGCATGATCAGATGCACGTTGAAAAGACAGCAGTCCAACGTGGCAGCGTAGCGCGCGAGCATTTATATACATATCTTTAGACAACGCCGCAGCACCACAAACTTGAACACGGTGTCCGCGACACGCCGTCGTCTTCTCGGACGCCGCTCGATCGATCCTGAGTGCATCCACGTGTCCAACACCTCCACCAACCCACGACTCCATTTTTCTTCATTTTTCTTCATTTTCCAATTTCCTGTTAACCACCAGCAGCAGCCTAGTACCATGGCGTCCGCCCAGCACACGACCTCGTCGACGCAGCGCAGCATCGTCGTGCAAAAGACGATCCGCAAGCACATGCAGGCCGAGCACGCGTTCAACGCCAAGACGAAAGACGGCAGCATTCCTCTCGTGCTCGTTCCAAAGTACCCGCTCTTGTGCGACACCTTTGTACGCATTCCATCGGGCATGTGGGTCCTCTATCAAAAATGGAACTCGCACGCGGGGATTCTCGAGCCGGGTCTCAAGATGTTTTGGCCCGCGTACTACCGCGTCTCGCACATTGTCACCAAGCACGCGGTCACGTACTCGGCGCCGGTCAAGCGCTGCGCAACGTCCGACAACGTCATGGTCGACATTGATATTTCGATCAATTTTCAAGTGGGCCCGACCGCCGACGACGCCGTCAAGTTTGTCTACATGCTCGGCGCGCAGCGCTTCAACGAGCTCATTTCGCAGATCACCGAGGAGGCGATCCGCGGTCTCGTGCACTCGGTGCGGCACGACCAAGTCCACGACCTCCGCGAAGAGTTTGCAAGCGGCATGAAGAAGGACCTGAACCAAAAGGTCTGCGCCTACGGCGTCATTGTGCACAACGTCAAGGTCACCAACGTCGAGCTGCCAGTCCGGCTCTCGACAACGCTCGAGCACACGACCGCGTTCAAGACCAAGATGGAGGAGCAAGAGAAGAAGCAAGAGAACGACATGCGCATTTTGATCAACGAAGAAACGCAGCTTCTGACCGCGATTCAGAAAGAGAACGACCGAAAAGTCAAGGACCTCATTGCGCTCCAAGAGCGGGAGCTCATTCGCCGCCAAAAGCTCCGATTCGACGCCGAAGCCAAGATGGAGGTGCTCTGCATCGACCAGCGCTCGATCTGTGACGCCCAAGTCCTCCGTGCGGCCGGCCAAAAGGACATTGCGGCCGCGTCGGCGTCGACGGCCGCCACGAAAATGCGCAACGATGCGATGGTGCTGCTCGTCAAGACACAGCGCGAGTACGAACAGACGATCAAGGCCGAGGAGATCCGGCAGCAGGCTCGCATTGACGCCGCGCTCAAGGCGGCCGAAGGCCTCACGGCCGCGGCCAACACTGAAGGCAAAGCCGCCAAGCTCCTCGCGCTCAAACGTGAATTCGACTACCAGACCAAGAAGAACGCCGTCGAGATCGACCTCGTGGCCAAGACAAAGATGGTCATTTCGGGCGAGAACGGCGAGGCACTCTTGCAGCGCATCTGCGACCAGGCGCGCGCCTCGGCCTAATACGACATACTAGTGTCGTCGCACGGTCGAAGTGCCTCGATATTCGTGTTGCAATGTACAAGTACGATCTAAAACAATAAAAAAGGAATGCATCTATCTAGTCTCTCGGCAGCTACACCCGGCATCCTTCAAGTCCAAATGACATCTCTAGTGGCTGTCCAAGCGCCGGTTGAGCTTGTAGCACCGACAACGGGTAATACAACTAGTAGAAGATCTTGGAGTAGGCAAGGGCTAGGTTGCTCGATTCCGCCAAAGCGTTCGGTTGATTCTCACACGTCGAGACAGCCCGTGAAAGCGTGTAGCTACGGTATCACTCGCTACATCGTGCAGTGTGATAACGTTAGTAGATGACCTCATGAATAGGCTCCAGTCACCTGTTGGCCACTGCCCATCGGAAAACGCTCATGGTGATGGGTCGAATGAAACCGCACCGCCGTTGACAGTGCAAATTTTAGACTATCGCACGAGTCTTTTGTATATATATATATATATATATATATGAATGAGCAGTGGAGCTAATAGGACGATAGGCGGTAGACGATGAGTGACGGTGCGAGAACGTTGGGTGGTATTACGTCGAGACCGCTGGCGAGCGAGGTTAATGCGGCGCAGCAGGCAAGTGTGATGAGCATCGGGAGCACGACGCTCGCAGAGACGAGGAGGACGACGACGCCGACGAGCGTCGCTTCGGACACGAGGCGCAAGTGCCGCTCGAGGGTCGTGGTGCTGCGCATGTCGCTTTTTCAGCCAGAACCGCCCAACGATTGCGTCCAGGCCTTCTGATTGGCTGACCTGGCACGCTGTGATTGGCCCAATCTTGGCAGGGCCGATCCAATCCGACGCTGTGTCGTCGACACGACGTGTGCACACAATCACCCGAGGCGGGATTCGACGAGAGCATTATTCACAGCAGCTCGTGGACCAAAAGCGTTTTGCGCCACCATCAAGGAAAATAATGTTATTATTTCCCTTGGCCACCATCGACGCCGAGGTAATCCGGCTATGCAGCTTTCTCGACTCGGAATGGGCCAAATCGATTCACACGACGTCGTAGTCTGAGCGACAACGAGGCTCAAAAGCGCCGCGCGTGCACCACAAGCTTGGAACCGCCGACGTGACGAGCCGCTGCAAGTAGTGCTGCCTGTACGAAAAGCACGCGCCACGCGGTGCGGAAGAACTGCCGCGGCGATAACGTCGGGTGCGCGCTTCGTGATAGGACGAGATCGATGACGAGGTTGCGGCCGAGTTTGCGCCCGACAGTGGCGTTGACAAGGTAAAAGGTGTCGACAGCGACGATGTCCCCGACGACCGGACAAACAGTAACTCTACTAGTACTAGTATACATTAATCAATCAATCATTCAATCAATCATTCCATCAAATGTGGTCGCTTTTAGCCACCACTTCGAGCCCTGGCAAAACTACAACAAAGAGCGTACCAGGGCGGGAGATGGCACGAAAGGGCCACTGCGGCGAGTCAGTGCTAACGTTGTAGAGCGAACCGAGAGAGTCGACGCACTGGCTGTAAAACTAGAGTACTTCCAAACAAGATCCACAAACTGGTAGAGCCACGCGAGCATGAAGAACCTAAGCGTCTCGATACCGTAGGCGGTAGTAGCGCAAGAATCGACTCAGCATACTAGTACGTAACGCGACGCAGAATGCATCGGAGTTGACACCAGCACTTTGTCGTTGGGAGTAAGCTGCGTACACAAATTCCGTCGCGCAGCCGAGTAGTTGTCGACATTACAGCCAATTTCATGTTTGTTCGATTCCATAAACCTTGCTCGCAGTTTCCACGAAAGAAGCATGTGCACGCGCGTGGTCGCGTGGTCTTAGGCGATCCAAACACATCAAATTAGCAAAATCTCTCAAGAACCTTGCGACAATTGGATTGTGTGTGATCGTAGGGACGTTCAAACATCCGGATATGGCCGTGGGTCGACATCGTCCGGATACACCCACATTGCCCTTCGCGCAGCTCGCACTACATAAAATGGTCGGGAAGGCCAAGACCATCTATAGCAGCCTCCGCAAGGAGCACGTTTCAACGAGCGCGACGATTCGGACCGTCGACGATCGCTACGATGACCTCACGTTTGTCATCGCGGACAAGGGTATGACGCGCGCCGACTGCGAAGCACGCCTGGCGCGGTTGGACAAGATCAAGCAAGCCGTGGCGCCCCGCATGGAGGTTTTCCACTTTGTACCATCCGTCGCCGATGCAGACGATCTGGCGCTCGTTCTCGAGTCGGACGCAGCGCTCGAGACGCTGTCGCGGACCGATGCAGCGCGCCTTCGCAGCCTCGCGGCGCTGCACGGATCATTTGGCGACGACAAGCAAGCAAAAATCGCTGCTGCCGCGCGCCTGTGCTATCGCCTCGAACACGTCGAGCGCGAGTTCGAGATTTGTGAGAGTCTGGGCCTCGGACGCAAGGTGCTGCGGGCCATCAACGCGCAAGAACGTGTCCGGCTTCGCGCGCAGTTGGACTCGCCGTGGGCCAAAGTAAGCTCGATGGACGACGTCGTCTTTAGCGAAGAAGAAGCCGCAAAGCGTCGCCTGCGCATCTTGCACAAGCTCGAGGCCAAGGGGACGACGCGTCGCTGCAAGTGCTGCACGTACCGCAAGCACGCGCCGCGCTACACATCGCGCAAGGACTGTCGCGACGTGACACGGCTCCGTGTCCGCGATTGGGCGACCGAAGACAATGACATTGACGACGATGTCGCTAATGCTTTTTGTCACGACGAGGACGAGGATGAAGATATGCGCTGCTGGCAATGCGACACTGACGCAGAAAACACGGATAGGATTGATGGTAGCACGTTTGCGGGTGCTGCAACGTAGAGTAGTCATGTCGTATCTGCTCAGGTTAGAATAAAGGAAAGTTGACGTGTCACGAAACAACCAAGTAAGATCATTCTCGATGTTTAAAAGCGCGGTAGTGCCGACGTGATCGCCTGGCGAGCGATATGGGCCACTCCTGCTCGCGTGAGTGATGCTATCGTTGATGGCGCGGAGAGTGATGGTGTAAATCGACTTGCAGTGTTGTCATTCGTGGCGATGACACTCTCTTGTACTACGTAGGCTGTATGCTCCTGAAGGCGGCATTCACGTTGCCTGGGAGATGGCCGAAATAAAACGCTTTAAAAGCGAGATGGAGCGACACATCATATCCACAACGAGCTGTCCTTGCGTCGACCGCATGCGGCTCTCAACTACCAGGCTCTGGACTGCACGCTTTACAACCAGCACATCGCGACACGCAAAAGAGTATGCGCCATTGCCTACGCTATTCTAGCGTAGAGGTGACCGCCCTCGTGGCCGAGCAGCACATGAGGCCCCCGAGCTTAAACGCTAGCGCGGAGATGGGCTGGTTTTGCCTTACCTACGCCCCCGTGACGACAACTACGCTGGATGTACACCCTGCCGGACGCCAAGACACGTGATTTCATGTTCCCGTTAGTGATACGCTTTTGCTTTGACACTCGACGACCAGGCGCCGCAAGGAATGTCGGCAACGCGGATATGTCGGTCCAAGGTGCATTCTGAGGCTGCCACGTCATTTTATTCCGCCAATCAGCATCGAGATCGGATCTAAGGGCCTGATTCTTCGCGCCATCAAGGACTCGACGCAATAGGCAACAAAGTTCCACTGGAATGCTATAGTAAAATGGCACTAGAATGCAATATGTCTAGCGCTATGCAGCGAGGGCCATAAGCCTTACTCAGTCCGCTTGCGAAGCACGTAATCACGCACGATGTGCGTTCTGCAGATTTGTCGCGTGCCAACTATTACATAGGGTCATGGGTAATTTCATCCTGCCAAATAGACTCTGCAGGCACCCTTGCATGTCGTGTCGCTTCAACTTCAACGCCTTGATAGTACCGTATTGGTGATCCGATACAACGTACGTACGGTATTGAAGGGACCTCGCTGCTTCTGGCGCGAAAGGTCGCCCATCCATCTATGCTGCTACATAAACCACTTTGACGCTGGTAAATGTAAAGTTGTTGTGTTGCAGCTGCTTGTTCCGTCGGACTGATGAGTGCCGCGGTATCCGTTCGCCTTCAGACCTACCGGTACGCGGTAGCATGGGATTCTGCCCCGCAGCGCAAGCATTGGTTTCATCTCGTCACAGTGACAAATTGAGCACGCCATCGACATGGAAGTACGTTTCTCTCTCCTTTAACCTCGCTGCCTTTCCCCTTTTTGATGTGCCACCACGAGATTACGAAACGTGACGAGCCATTGGTTCCATAAGAACAAATAACCGTGTGTTGGTACTACTATGATGGAGATGTGGGGCACGAGGGCTTCAAGTCACGGCCGAGGACCTTCGACGACGACGTGTAGCTCACTCTACAGCGCGCTTGTCCCTTTGTCGTGGCACCCCAGATGCGGGGTTTGGGTACGTCCGTTATCCTCGTCTTCTAGCCGACAGCGCCCACGAGGTGAGCATAATACAAGTACGCGAGCCCTGCGGCTGCTATATGTACTACTGCAAGGCAGCCGCACCACAAAGGGACGTGTATAGGCCACTATGTATGTGAGCAGGTGTGCATACCAGTACTACTACCCCCGACACCAAAGCACTCGTGACTGCTGGAAGAAATCGCTCGATGCAAAGACGCGCCAAGAGGCAAGAAGAGAACGTGGGTGGAGAATCAAGGGCCGATGCACCCATGGCAGTGCTTGTATTGGAACGTTGGAGCGTCCATCCATCCATGTTGAAGTGCGGACCCGTAGCAGCCTGGCGTCAAGCCGTGAGGCATGGGACAAGGCCATAATCACCATCACGAGAACTCGCGGCTGCCAGTTCCTTGGCGAGCCACCGCGACGCATGGACGAGTGCGGTGCCCAGTCCCTCGTTCCTCTTGGATTTGTGTTGACGCTTCACCCAACCAATCACCAAAGGCAGAAGCGATAGCCTGCGATGTGGCACACCACTGTCTTCTGTAACATCTGTAGATCCGCCAAGCCAACGTCCCAGGTACCGTACACCATGCTCTCTCTAGTTGGCAAAGGTAGCCCGCCGCTATGGCCGCATGGAAGCTACCTATTGTACCGATACGTTTGAATCCATGCCTGCAACGACCTACAAGACGCGTCCGAGCAGCCGCCGCCTCAGAGACGAGTGCAGGGTGGTTGCACCGGAATGCGTGTCCCTCATCTTGGCCTCTGTATGTCGGCTACGAAAGCAAATCGATGGACTTGGATTTTAGCCAATCGTGTGCCGCGCCGCGCTGGCGTCGGCCATTGCACACGGCGTGGCCTGTTTTTCATCCGGATACACGGCGCACCTATCCGTATTACGGCCACCCCGGGAGACGCCATTTGCACATAAGCATGGCGTGGGCACAGCGCGAGGTCAACAACGCGCTCTCGATGAACGACCTCATGGAGAAGGCCATGTGGGCGCCCGACGACAGCCGCGACGACTGCTACGTGTGCAGCCGCCACTTTAGCAAGTTTCGGCGAAAGCACCACTGCCGGCTCGTACGTGCGGCGCATGCCTGCCACCTCCTCTCATGCTGCGACTCCTAGTGCGGCGAAGTGGTCTGCGGCAGCTGCCTCCTCAAGAAGCTCGTCGAAGAAACCGCGCGCGTCGGGCTGCGCGAGGTCAAAGTATGCATGACGTGTCTCTCGTCAACGAACGAGCGGCAGACCAAACCGTCGTCGTCGTCGCTCTCGTCGTCGTCGTCGTCCAAGCTCGCGCCCGCCTCGCACAGCGGCGGCGCCATCGAGCCGTACGCCAAGCACGCGATGGACTCGTCCAAGTCGATCGAGTCGCTAGCCAAGGCCCCGCACCAGCACCACGAGACGATCCACTATCTCGACGACGACGACGACGACCACCACCATGCTACGCTGCGCGACGACGACGACGACCTTGACAACTTTCGCTTCACGGTCGAGTACGAGCTCGACTACAACTGGGTCTACCCGTGGCCGCGGCCGCCGACCTTGCGCAACGAGCCCGAGCGCCTCGACGCGCTGCGCGCCATGCGCATCCTCGACACACCGCGCGACGATGGCTTTGACAGCATCTGTGAGCTCGCAACGAACGCGCTCCAGTGCCCGATCGGTGTCATTAGCTTCATGGACGACGACCGGCAGTGGTTCAAGGCGTGCATTGGCCTCACCGAGGCCGCGATCCCGCGCGACATTGCCTTTTGCGCCCATACAATCCGGTCGCAGGAAGCCATGGTGGTCCCGGATACGACCAAGGACCCGCGGTTCGTTCAGAACCCGCTCGTGACAGGCCCGACGCACATTCGGTTCTACGCGGGCGCGCCACTGATTGCACCGACGTTTGGCCAAGTCATTGGCACCATTTGCGTCATGGACACCGTGCCCCATCCGCGCTGCGAGGTCGCGACGCTTGAGAAGCTTTCGACGATCGTCATGAAGAAGATTGCATTGTCATCAGCAGCATCGACAAGTGCGAATATGATGCATGGCAGCGCGCGAGGGTCGGCGACGAATTTGCGCGGCTATTCGTCGTCGTCGGTGTCGACGGTCGCGTCGTCGGCGTCGTCGAGCTACCCGAATACGACGACGGATCCGTCCTTGGGCAACCTCGAGTCGATGATGCTGCAGCTACTGTCCAAAGCCGCCGAGACCCAGCATCAGCTCGCGACGCAACAGCAGCCCGCGCTCTTATAGAAGAAACTCATCTCGTTCGTGTGTCTAACCCTCGTAACTCGTGTCGTCCGTTGCTGTACGTTAATCATTTTATTAGCTGCATGGTAAAGTGGCGGCAATCACATTTTCTTGCAGACTAGATGACGAGGCGTCGTCGTCGTCCGCAAGGAACGTGATGACGCACGCCGCGTCGACGCCAAGTCTCTCTCGACAGATACTTGGCAAGTGGGGCCAGCCGCCGAGTCGACGACCAAGTAGAGACTTTCTTGGATGTCAAAAAGTGACCTTTGATCGATGGCCAATTGGAGGCGGTGGGATGCCGTTGTTCTTTAGTCCAAGGTGAGGAACGGATGCGTTGATCGAGGCAAACGTTATTGGACGGTGTCCAGGTGCAGTCGCAAGCGCTCGCACCAAGGGCACATACTAAATTGATTTATGTACCCTTGCTCGCCCCGACGCGCCACGCCATGAGCTCCAGGAATCTGGGGATGTGTACATCTTGTTGGAATGCAGTGAAATAATGTACTTATCAACAAAAAACGCCGGCAAAATGACACTCGGAGCGTTTGTCGCTGGGTTCACGTACTGGGTACCACGCCGTCTCGCGCGGTGCAAATATCAAATCGATGTAGCCGCTTCCGTTGCAAAGTGGTCGCAGCCGCTGATCTCGTACTAGTATGTGGCCGCGTCCAAGCTCTGCCCAAGATAGGATCAATAAAGCCGTCAAGAAATGTCGTTGGCGCAAACCGTTGCTTGGTGCCCGCAATGTTCGCCACGCTCAAGTTGTCTTACGTCGATGCCAGCTCTCTGGCGAGTGCGATGACACCGGCCGCCGGCATCGACGTCGATGCAATCAGCGTCGCCCAGCGCGCCAAGCACGACGTCAGATGCGGAAACTAGTGCGCGCGCCATGGCGGGCAAAGTCGTTCGGTGATGTGAGCGGGTTGAGCGACGACTTGAGTTGGACGTTCGCAAACGACTCGCGCGCGGCCGAGCAAGAGAGCTTATTGCAGATTCTTATGACTGCTGGAAGCTCATATACTTGACCGAACTCGATACGCTCTGTGAGCCCTACTCCGAGCTTGTCAATCGCAGCAGCGTGGAAGCCAAGGTCCGCACGGGGCAGCTGCGCCTGACCATGAGCCCGACGTGCCCGCGATGGCTCCAGGACCTCGCGGACAAGAGTCTCGCGTTCAACCCGACGGAGCGCCCGACGGCGGATGCGATCGTGACCAAGCTCCTCCTGCGCCGCAAGACGGGCAATGACGATGCGCCAACAAGCATTGTGCTTGAGACGAAGGTGGTGACGCTCGCCAGCGTCAAGGGGCTGCCGGCGATCTCCGAAGGCAGCACCAACGGCAGCGAGGTACTTTTATGATGCCATTATTCCTCTCTCGATCCTGATGTTTGCCACCGTCCCCAGGCTGCGTGAGGCATTCGTCAACGCATGGGACTCTGTATATCTCTTGTGTTTCCGTATTTAAACCCATCCGTTTTGCATCTCTGCGTCGTATCGTGTTGTCGCTGTGTGTGATTTGGAAAAGCAAGCATCCTCATCTTAGCAGTGATGATGCACGTGCGCTCCTTGTGTGTGTTGACATCAATCGATGACGCTACAGCGAAATCCTGTCCGGCGAGGGATAGGGTCAACGCGCAAGATCACGTTCCGATTCGACCAATCCATGGACGACGAGCACATGTGACGTAATACAAAGCCATGGATAGGACGAAGCTCACCCACGAGCAGCGGCCATCAACCTCTTCAAGCGCCACGTTGGGCGCCTCGGTGCCCTTGGCTAGGCGCGGACCCTTGATGATTTTATTTCCTTGGGCCCATCGTCCAGCGACACTTGATCGTCCGTAATGACGTCTATTGCAATTCCAATTGCAGTGTCCTCTAGGATTGTCCTATTCCCTTGCATCTAGCAAGATGACTGCTTGACGGAAACGTTTGCTCAAGGCCTGTTCGCGGATAAGCCCACATCCTGTTGCTCCATCACTAAAGCGTAGCACTCGAGTCTAACCGTGAGCGTCGATGGTCGATGTGCGTATGGGTGTTGAGGGACTCCATGTGCAAGGCATTCTTGCAGAGGCCGACACGACGCGGCAAAAGTACAGCTCACGTACTGTGTCGACAAAATGATACGACGTCATCGACACCGACCCGATTGCTGCCATTGGCGCCGGTGCGTCGCTGCGATTATAGCTACACAATCTACATTCCCTAACCCTATATATATACTGCGTCGACGCGATGGTTGTTAAAAAATGGCCTTGCTGTCACCGCCGTCGACGCTTTGGCAGTACGGGATCACGACTTGCGTGATGCACTGGTGCACCGCGTCGAGCTCGGCGATTTCCCGGGGCGGGTGCGTGCGGTCGGTTTCCGCAAAGATGCCGCAGCAAAATTCAACCTGCTCGAGCATCTCGTAGAGCCGCGCCAGCTTGCGGGCTTCGGTCGCCGACTTGGCTTGCGAGTGCGCTTGCACGTATTTCTGAAAGCTCTGGAGCACCATGCCGACCTTTTGGCCGTAAATCTCCTTGAGGGCCGCGTGCTATGCAGTGGAGACCACGACATAAGCCCTTGCCCTCGCCTTGGCATCGAAAGATGAAGAAGGGTGTACCTTGCGCCAGTAGACGTGCTGCGACGTCGCGTCCGAGGCCGCCGACGAAAAGCTAGAGTCGGTGCGCGGCGCTGCCGACGACACATTCGACGGAGCGAGCGATGGCAACGAGATCTCGGTCGAGAGGAACGTGTCACGGAGTGGCGACAAGGTCGCGTTGACTTCGGTCTGGAGCTTCTTGAAGTGCGGCTCAATCACGGTCGTAATATACGTGTAGACGTGCTCGAGCTCCTTGATATCGCGGGGCGCGTGCGTCGCGGGTGTCTCTTCCAGAACCTGACCGCAGTAGTCGGCGTACTCGAAGAGATGCACGACGTCCTGGATGTGTTCCTATGCATGTAATGAATCAATCGATATGCATATCGTGGCGGCGAGAACAAGGTACCGGTGACTTGTGCCCACGGTATTGCTGGAGGTACATCTGGAAGAAACGGTAGGCCTCGCCGACGCTGGCCAAGTACAGTTGCTTGAGCTGCGTGTGTTGTTGCCAGTACGCGTCGAGGCGTCGCTGCCGGTCGTCGCGGAGGTTCGGTGACATGGTCGGGTTCTGGTGCTTGACGGCAAAGAGCTGGTCCGACATCGAGGGCAGCATCTTGCTGCCGCTGGCCGACGAGACCGACGAGAGCGACGACGACTGCGTCAGCTTGTGCATGTAGGGAGTGATGATCTTGTGGATCGACTTGGTGAGCCGGCGCAAGTCGGCGTTGGAGCGCGGCGGATGCGACGACGGTGTTTCCTGGAGCACGTGGAGGCAAAACTCGACGTAGCCCATGAGGTACTCGATCTTCTGGCGCTGCTCGTTCTGGACGGCGCCCGGTCGACTCAAATGCTGCTTGAAGGCCGCGTGGACCGCGAGGACGTTGGCGAAATGGGCGTCCTTGAGCGCTCCATGCTAATGCGCCGCATGCTTAGATACAACTGCACACAACGTAGGCACGTACCGAGCGCCAGTAGTCCATGCCGTTCTCCGTGTGGTACGATGCATATGTGTTCTCGGACGACGTCATGCTGCTGCGGTCGTCCATGACCGACGGCGGCGGAAGGCTAAACTGTGGTCGCTGCCCGAGGTCGCCGTGGCGGCGACCGGTCCACATGACCTTCACATGGTTGGTCTCGTGCTGCGGCGGCGACCCGAGCGAGTCCATCGAGTCGCGGCCCATCGTGTCGTCGTCCTCGACGCGCTCGGGGAGGTCATCCGTCGAGAGCTTGGTCACATAGGGCACGACAATGTTGGAGATGTACTTGCGGACGCGCGCGAGCTCTTCCCACGTCCGAATCGCATGCGTCGCCGCGTCTTCCTCGAGGACCTGCTTGCAGAACGAGACGTACTCGATGAGGTGCGCGATCTTGCGGCGCTCGTCGAGGTCCCGTGACCCGAGGATCTTCTGGAAGGCCGCGTACACCGCATGCACGTCGTCGAGGTACGACATCTTGAGCGCGCCATGCTACAAGCGGGGTACCATGAGGACCGTCGTCGGCCGAGGAAGCGCATGGAGCTACCTGCTTCCAGTACTCGGTCGTCGCATGGTCCGAGGACGACGTCGAGCTCGCATGGCTGCCGGGTCGCCGGGACGGCGTCTGCAGGAGGGCCGGCTGGTACATCATGCTCGCTCGGACCCAGGGAAATTGCTTGAATGCAAGAGGTCCCACTTGGTCCGATCAGGTCTACCCTTCAATTAAATTGCCCAACGTATTTTATTGGGCAATCCACCCCTGCTGTGTCTAGACGCACGCCATTTCGGTCCGGATACGCCAGCGCCGTGCACGCCCTCGTCCCACGCGCATCTACTAGCCTCATGCGAGGAAGAGTTTTATGGGGATGGCACCGATGGGCGCCTGTCCGAAGCATCGGATGCATCCCTATTTGTTGCGACGACAACGACGCGGCTATGTAGTGTTTCCCAAGGCTGGCTTGGCAAGAAGAGAGAACGCTTTCGATAGTAGCCGTGCATAGCACGCGCTGAGAACGTGCTTGGTCTCGTCGTCTGGACCCATGCGTCAACTTGCTTGTTGTTGAGGTTTGCCGTTGTGGCAAGCATTCCGTGGTTGCAATGGTGGCGGTGGTTTCGGTGCTAATAGACTATGTACCGTTATTTCCTTTCATCCCCGCAAGCGACCTTGCCTGGTGCCATATAGTGGGAAGGAGGATGTACGATGGGCACAGGAGGATGGTTCCTTGTGGGGACGGGGCACGGTGGGCGGCCCACTGGCTACAGTGCTGCACCGTCCGACGCCCGAGTAGCTCGTTTTTGGCGCTTCGTATCCGGAAAGTGGCGTGTTTTTAGCGTCTTGCTCGTTGTATGGGCGCCTGGAAAGCGCGCGGGGTGGAATGGGCTGCATTCCACCAAGAAGTGGGCGTTTTATTATTCTTCAATTAATTTAAGTAGCCTTCTACTTAAATGCATATTTTTTCGCGCAAACTTAAATTCAGCATCACCGCGGGCCGTCATACAATGCGAACATTGCTTTGTCGACAGTGTTCGCTGTAATATAAACTGTCGCGTGATGCGCTGGGTACGAAACGTGTGACCAACGCCTCCACACCTTCTCGGCTTGCTCAGACCGTGCGCGACGAGGCGATCTTCTCGGTTTTAATGCACCACAAGGGCACCTTATATACTATTAGCGTGATCGCCCTCGACGATTCCGAGCGAAGGACAGATTGTACATGCCAGTCGTCGGCCAGTTGCCGAGGGCCTGCGCCAAAAAAAGAGACGGGCGTAGCGCATGCAATGGGTTGCCAGCACTCGGCTCGTGGCCAATCACGTGACGTCTTCTCACGCATCTGGTTTGGCGTGACTCAGCGCTGGTTGGCCACCATGGGAATCTTGATTGCGCCACGTCGACCGCGTCGATGCGACGCGAAAAAGACGAGCTCAATGTCAATGCGAGATGGTCAACGGCTTGCACCCTTTTCACGGCGTTGAATGACCTCCGGACCCGTGCAAAAGACACTGGTACTAATACTTGCACGAAGCTTTGTGTGTGGGCGTGGTCGCGCAGAACCCGACGTGGTTGCATCGTTGAAGCGGGTTGCAGCGGACGTGCTCCATGGTCATGTCCATTCCAACCAAGAGGTGGGCGATTCAAGAAGCATGGTCATGGTACTGTTGACCATGAGCACACAAGGGGCCTGTGTCATCCCTATATCTCGCCTTCACGAGCCGTCGTCGCTGCCGTAGGTCGCAACACGCTCCGAGTCGAGAGTCCATCGCTAAAACCAATGTCGTGTGCATTATTATATGTACATAAACTCACTTCAACAACAAGGCCAGGGTCGAAAGCGGCTTGTGCCGGTCGTCAAGCGTACCCAAGACCATCCACTTCCACGTGTCCATTGTATTCCAATCCGATCCCATCGCGCTCCGCCAGGTTTTTTATATCCGTTGAAGTTCTTACTCCCCACGACGTCCTGTTCCGCCACCGCGTCCTGCAACGCATGGTGCTCCATTCGCTGCGCTTGCAAGAATAGGCCCGACCAAGCTACGGGAAACCAACCGCCCGCCTTTCTCTTGACGGGCAAGCTAGTATGGCCGCCATAATGGCAACGCTTCATTCGGTGCGTTCTGATTGGCTAGTGTTGGATCTTACACGGCCATGTTGGCGCGCCATGCTGCCGCGTCCAAACATAGCTGCGCGCTGGTCGCGTACTGTTGGCATTCCCCATTCGACGTGGTGCTCTACACGCGACGTCTGTGCCCGGCGTACCGTTTAAAGTGCAATTAATCAGCCATGCAGCTCTCGACGATTCTTTTGTGGTTTCTACCCGTCGCGCTCGGAAACCTCTGCGTCGTGCCACCGTATTCGTACACATCTAACTCCGACCCGGCGCTTGCGACCGCGCTTTCAGTGCTCCAGCAGAGCCCGATTGGCACGTGGGTCAACGACAATGGCCACAACCCCGTGCCTGGCGTTCTCTCAAAATGCGGCAACGGAGACGTCCCGATCTTTGTGATTTACGGACTCCCCAACAAAGACTGCGCGGCGGGCTACTCGGGCGGCGGCACCAACAAAAACACAGAGCAGTATACGAGCTGGCTCCAAACGATCGTGTCGGCGGTCGGATCCCGCGAAGTCATTTACATTGTGGAGCCCGACGCGCTTGGGCTCCTCTCCCAGCAAGGGTGCGCCGTGAACCTCGCGTACGAATTAAACTTGAAGACCGCCGTGACGGTCTTGAGTCAGAACACCAACGCGCACATTTATGTCGACGTGGCGGGCTGGGCCACCGAGTCGGTGGCGATCTCGGTGCTCCAGACGCTCAAATCAGCCGGCCGCCTTGCCGGCATCTCGATCAATACGTCCAACTACCAGTCCAACGACGCCATGCTTCGTGTCTGCAGCACGTACTCGAGTGCGACCGGTGGCCTCCACTGCGTCATTGACACCTCGCGCAACTACCGCGGGTCGCCGCAAAACGAGTGGTGCAACGCCAAGTCGGCAGGTATCGGCGCGCCGCCGACCGATACGACCAACCATGCGCTGGTCGACTATTACCTCTGGCTCAAGGTACCTGGTGAGAGCGACGGACAGTGCACCGACAGCGGGCGCTCTTCGGATGCAATGGCGGGCCCTGGCGCCGGCCAGTTTTTCCCACAAGGGTTTACGTCGCTTTGGAACAACGGCTACTACGTCGCGCAAGGCGCTGCACCGATCGGTGGCGCGCCGCCTCAAGCCACCGCGGCCCCCGTCCCGGCACCGCCTCCGGCAACCACGGCCCCCGAGGTGACGCCAGCACCCGAGACGACACAGACGCCTGCCTCCTCGACACCGACACCGACACCAACGACGGATGCACCAACGACGCCGACGACAGATGCACCAACGACACCGACAACGGACGCACCAACATCGTCGACGACGGAGGCACCCACGTACCCGACCCATGAATTGGACAACGACGACGACGAGTACCCGTGCGAAATCGACGAAAGCGACGTAGCAACGATGCCGCCGCGCACGACACCGCCGCCGCCAACTGAAACGAAGGCTGAGAACGTGACCACGCCGGCGCCCGCGGCCGTCAACTTGGCGGCGGCGATGCAGTCGGATGCCGCGGTCGAGGCGCCACCGACTCTGCTCTCACCGGGTGGCACGGTTGCGATCGCTCTCGCTGCCATTGCGCTCGTCGCGCTCGTCGTCGTTTCCGTTTTTAGCGTGCGTCGGCATCGCAACCGCTTTGGGGATCGCGATGACAATGTCGTCGCGCTGGATTCGACGGGCATTGCCGTGTTGCTGTCGACTCCAGCCGCCAAACTCTAAGCAGCGCCGGCGACGATGGACCACGCTTTTGCTTCGATAGACGTATTCTCTCTTTTACACTAGTATGTGCGTAATATGCAGGACAATATTTTTCTTGATATCTTTGACGGGGTAGAAAGTACTATCTTTTGTGAACGTTTCAAGGCGGATCGTGTGCGGATGGGCAGTAGGGCGTGAGCTAGCGAGTGACGTCAACGATCGATCTTGTCTCCAGCACAAGTGCAGGAAGAGGCTAGATGACCACACCGCCACCAGGCTGGAACCGAGGTTCGCTCTCAACGGTTCGCACGCTTCACCTCGGTGGCACTTCGGGCACATGGACTTGAACACGTGTCTGCAGCGACGCTTCGTGAATGAATATGCAACATAAATTATGGCAGTATGACTCTGGTGCCTTGAGACATAGTGGTGTCCAAAGGGCCAGAGACCCGCCTTCCTCTTCTTTCGCCGTCGTCGTCGTTGGTCAGGCGTGTCGTCTCAAAGATCGCGATTCCACCAATGAAATGCCAGCAAAACCAGCCCAGCTTGTCGAGGATACTATCCCTCGCAGCAAGAGCATCCAGTAGCACCGATGGGCTCTTTGCGTTCCTTCGCATGACGTGACTCCTCTTGATATGTCGATATTTGCTATTCTTTATTGGTTGGTGGAAATCTTGGCCTTCATTCATGTCCAGCGATTGCCATCAAAAGCTTGGGTTGCGTGCATCTAGCCAACCTTTAAAACATGATATAAATATTAAATAGGAGAGACTTGTGCTTGCAGTGTGCAACTCCAAGAAGCATGAGCTCGCGCCCGGACGGCTGGAAGCACCTTGGCCGGTCGGCCGACGAAGGACAGGAGCGCCGCCGGCAAGATGCAATCGCCCGGCAGCGCCAGGCCCGGCGGGACCTCACCATGCACGTCCGCGAGATGGCGATTCCGAGCGTCGAGGCCGACCTCGAGGACATCACGGCGGGCTTGGACATGGACGTCGAGGTGTCGTCGGCCAAGAGCCGCAAGAAGACGCGCGAAGACCGCGTAAAGGGCCGGCGATCGATCTAT